AGAGAGAGAGAGAGAGAGAGAGAGAGAGAGAGAGAGAGAGAGAGAGAGAGAGAGAGAGAGAGAGAGAGAGTCTATGCGCTCTAGCTTCAGTATGCTTGTCGTCGGTAATGCATCCCATCTATGCGCTCTAACTTCAGCATGCTTGCCGTCGGTAATGCATCCCATCTATGCGCTCTAACTTCAGCATGCTTGCCATCAGCATGCTTGCCATCGGTAATGCATCCCCTACGCGCTGGGAACATCACTCTTACCAAGGGTAATGCGTTCCCTATGGGCTGGGAACAGGCTGCAAACTGAAGAGCGGTGGGCCAGTCCTTCAGTACGCTGGGGTGTCCACGCGTTCTGTGATCCGCAGGTGGCGGCCCTTTTGTGTGGCACAGGGGCTGGGCCGCCACATCCTTCCCCAACTCGGGTTTCAGGAGAGGGCCGGGTGGTTCGCGTATGGGGTGTGTCTTCCCTCTTGCACTGTGCACGGCCGCCCGGGCTACTCACACCAGCACTCTTTTACTTCTTTATGGACGTAATTTCCGTCAGGTGCATCTAGATCTGGCTCCTGAGAATGTGGGGTACTCAAATTTTCGATGTAGTTGAGAAAAAGTATATACAAATGGGGCTGAATTTCCAGACGGCCACATGCAGGGGAAATGGGGCTGAATTTCCAGACGGCCACATGCAGGGGAAATGGGGATGAATTTCCAGACGGCCACATGCAGGGGAAATGGGGCTGAATTTCCAGATGGCCACATGCAGAGGGGTAGGTAGGTAGTGAGAGGTGAAATTGAGAGAAGAATGTAGCTTTGTCAGAAAGAAACAAGATGTTTTTTGGTCCAGGTGCAAACTCCGTGGGCAAAACCCAGCTGCAAACGTCCCCGAGTCGTCGTTTTCGTCGTTTTGGTTTACCTGCATTCAAGTACTGGGGCCGGCGGAGACTGCGAGAAGTCACGCAAGCAGCAAACGAAAGCTAGCGCCAGCAGTCACGCAAGCATGGAGCTATGAGCGTGCGGCGTGCAGCGGAAGGGAAGCTTGCGAGAGCGGGCTGGCGCGCCCGTCCAGGGTGGTGTCCTCTCCGGCGGTCATGAAAGTTCCAGTGAGAGAGCAAGAAACGTGCGGCAAAATTAAATTGAAAGGGGGGTGGCTCGATTCTGCATTTGGCATTTAGTCCGTGATTCTCGGTGACTGTGGGGCGGAGCTTGGGATGCCGGAGGACGTGGCTGGCTGCCTTGGCGGGGTGAACGAAGGCCGCCACTGTTATGTTCAGATTATGTTTGAATCAAACAGGAAGGCTGCGAGAGCGGGAACAAACTATTGAGACAGGTTCAGGCTAAGAACATGTGAAACGCTGAGAAGAAAGCCGGCCCTTTCGAGGGAAAGGGAAGAAAGGCCGGTTGTCTTGTCCCTGATCGAATCCAGCAGATTTGAACTCAGATCTGTTGATCAACAAACAGTTACGTATCTGCGCCGTTCAGCCACCAGACAAGTTCCGAATTGCAGCTGCGTAGCTATACGCGCGCGTTTGGTATGGTATGGTATGGTCAATCTGAAGAAGCTCATGTCTAATTGGCTGGCAGGCCGTTGGCACGTTCAAAAGAAGCCAGCGGCGAATGGTGGAATGTGCGCTTTTGCAGCTTGAATGGCCACGGTGGCGGTGGCAGTGGCGGGGTGAACTGGTGAGTTGTTTTGTTTTGGTGAAGCGCGCCGAGCGCTTTCCTTAACCCACCAGGCTCCCGCTCAGCTATCCGCGGCGCCACGCGTGTTCTTTTTTCTTCCAAACCGCCAGAGATCCGTCAAGACGGCGCGCTTTTGCTTTTTCTTCCAAACCGCCAGAAGTCCGTCAAGACGGCTTGGCGGGAATGAGAGGAAGAATTGCATTCTCACTCCAAAGATTCGCTGGTCAGCAGGATCGGACGGCGCAGCAGCATCCGCAACAAGGCTTAAAGGGAAATAGGGAGAGGGAGGGCACACCTATGTGCTTGTTCGCTGCTGTGGATTCGTAGCGAAAGACACGTAGTAGGGAAGAAAAGCGCGGGGTACTACCGGGGGCAAGGTCCCACTGGCACGGTTCAAGGGAATCTAGCCGTTGATCTCTGCTATCTACGGTCAATATCGGTTAATCATTCGTGTTAGTGGGACCTAGCCTCGGGTAGGAGCAGGGAAAGGAAGGTTAGTGGGAGAGGTCGGGATGGGGCTTGGAGAAGAAGGATGGGGGTGGTGGGTAGGCGATGTAGTGGCATTGCGATCTAGGTCTTCGGCAGAGGACAGTAGGACACGGGGTCAATTCTCGGCTGGTCTGTCCTTTGCGGCGCTTTTGCCGACAATGCCGTTTTGGCAAGTAGCGACGCTAGTCTCGCTGACAGGTTTCCTCTATGTGGCCCGCACGTCGTTGCTGTGTTTGCGCCTGCGGAAAATTCTACAGCCTATCGCTTTCAAATATGTGCAAAGCGGCACAAGCACTGTTCTCGCTATCCAGGTAACTTTCTCTCTCTCTCTCTCTCTCTCTCTCTCTCTTTCTCTCTCTCTCTCTCTCTCTCTCTCTCTC